TGTTTGTGCATATTTTACTTAGCATAATGTGCTCAAGGTTCATTTACGTTATCACTATACCGTTCTTGGCAGAACCTCTTCTCAGTGCTTCTAATAAATGATGGAATGTGGGTTCACAAATCTTCTGTGACCCTTCATGTTGGGGAACTTGGGACAAGTTCCTTGGTACCTCTGTGCCTCAATTTCCTCTCCCAAGAGGGAAGGAGGGAAACTGAGGCCGGGGAGGAAAGTATCTTGTCTGAGGGCAAACAAGAAGGTTCAGGAAAAGGGGAAAGTTAGACCACCAGTTCTCTGCTTCCACCCACAGCTTGTAAAGCAAAGGCAGTGTCTGGGAGTGTAGAGAGTCCCTGGATGCACCCTGAGACCTTGAACATGACTCTTCACCTTCTCAGCCTCAGTTTCCCCTTTGCTCAAAGGGATATAATAAAACTGGCTTTTCTTTCTCAATAGGTTGTTGTAATGATCGAATGCAGTTTCTAATGCCTTTAGAAGCATAATGCCCTGTACAGTAACAAAGTGTGGCTGAGAATCTAGAGTTTTTAAAATCAGAACAGCAGCTTATCATGCCAAATCATAAGAGTATTCAGGTCACAAGAGCATACAATGAGAATAGTTTGTGTTAGGAGACCATGTAGGTGAAGGTAGAGGGTTGGGGACTAACAGCATCTGGTGATAGTCAGTCTACACTGGGAATTGTAGCTTTGTGCCATAGCACAATCACTAAGAGCTGCTGTTTAGCTCATTTAGTCATTCAGAAAGGATATATCTTCAGACACTGTGCCAGGCATTGGGCGTACAGAAAATATAAACTCCTGACTTCATGGAGTTCACAGTCTGAAGGTAGAGACAATCATTAAACAGTCACATAAATAAACATATGATTACAAATTAGGACAGAACCATGAGATAAGAGCACAGAGTGTTATGAAAGAGTGTAATTGGAGACTCACTACACATTGCAGGAATTGGGAAGGGCTTTCTGCGAAGTGACATTAAGCCTAAGACCTGAACTGAAAAAAAGGCAAACGCAGTAAGCAAAACAGAGGGTACATTTCCACAGCGTCTTATACACCAGAACATAATTGTTACCTATTGTTATGTCATCTAGTATAACTGTTATAGACAGTTACTATAAAGTGCACTAGAGCTGCTACATATTGTTGCTGTCAACTTTAGTATAGACCCTATATACCCTTACATAAACCATAGTCTAGTACCAAATCAATAGTTTAGTTGGTAAATGCTGCTGCTGTTTAACACGAAAAGCATTATCTATCATGGTACAGCAGCCATCTATTGCTACTAAATGCTAGAGTGTACCTTCTCTATTTTACTATAAATACCATAGTGTAAGTACTTGTATTAGTAAATGTACGCTTAGCTGATGAAATCTGGGAAATCTCCCTGCTTATTCTTCCTAGATGGGATTATATACTTCCTTAATGTGGAGGATGAATGAGGAGGAGGAGGAGGAAGATAAGGAGGAATAAATTTTTATTTAGAACTTACAATGTGCCTAGCACTGCACTTTAAATGCATCACTCACAAAAGCCTCATAACTCTCTAGTAACCCCATTTACAGATGAGAAAAATGAAGCTTAGTGAGGCCATATAATTTTCCCAAGGTCATACAGCAAGTAGATGGCAGAGCAGAACTTGAAATTTGACCTGACACCCAAGTCCATGTTCTCAACCACTGACCTTCACTCCCTCCAATGCCCTTGCCTTCTCACCCTGCAGAGAACAGGACTGCTCAACTGTCTCTGCAGCCCAAAGAGATGCCTGTTCTATTCACAGGGTCTGGCGTGTCTGGTGCTGGGGGATGGGGGGCAGTAGGGAGGACCACTGGCTAGCTCAGACAGACCCGCATCCCTGCCCGCTCCTCACAGGCCACAGACCTAAGGCAGACTATTTAATTTCTCTGGGGCTTGACAGACTGCATACCTGGAGGGAAAGCATGAAAGACAGACAGACATAGTCACCTGCCTTCTGACCTGTTTGCAGTTGTGTGATCAGTTCTGTGAGGTCTGGCTCTGTTTACTGCCCTAGAATTCTGAGATGTTTCCTTCCTTCCTTCCTTCCTTCCTTCCTTCCTCCCTTCCTTCCTTCCTTCCTTCCTCCCTCCCTCCCTCCCCTCCTCTCCACCTTTCCTCCTGTACTCAAGCTAGTTTGAGTAGATTGTATTACTTACAAGCAGAAAAACCTTAAAAAACCCTCCTTCACAGAGTTGTCATAAGGATTAAATGAGATAAATGTGTGAGTGCTGACAGGTCATCGGGTCAGCAAGCAGAATTCTTAAAGTGATTTTTCCCAAAATGCATTTTATAAACCCTAACCCTGGGGCTGGGGGGTGTGGACCATGACACGTGCCTCTGGGAAACACTGAGCACTATACTCCCCTCTTGAGACTCCTATGTTTATTAGCATATTCAAAATTCTGAAAAGACTAATTGTAAAAGGACATGTTAAACTTTGCTTAACTCTGCATTTCCCAACTTTATTTAAACACTGAATTCTTTTTTCCCCCACAAAGCCTTGGCACGTCCCACCAAACCGTGGAAATGCTGCTATAGAGAGTAGTGTGGCTCTGAGAGGGACTGGCCTAGGGGACCCCTAAGGCACCTTGAAGCTCTCAATTCTGAGTCTTCATTATTATTTTTCATACTCTCCAAAGCTTTAGTAGTGAATTCTAATGATTGATAGGCTCTTTGTTGCTACTCAGAGCTGTTTTAGCAACAGGATTAATGCCTGTGGCTAGAGATTTTCTCCAGCTCTCATAATGAGAATCACATATTCTCACTAGGGGAATGTTGGGGATTGAAACTTTGGTATGAAACCATTTCTGAGGGTTGGAGCTGTTTTATCATGAAGTCCCCAAATCACAAAATCTGGAGCTTGAAGAAGTGAAGAAAGCATTTAGTCCTCCATTTCTACCTTGCTAGACATCTGAAGCCTAGAGAGGGGGGTATTTTGACCAAGGTCACAGACTTCTTTCCACTTGGTTCTTCCCCAGGCAGGCAGATCGTGACATAAATGTGTGTAGAGTGGCAGTACTGACCTCTCTCTGACCACTGCCGCTCTCGTAATTAAACAGAAATATTACCATGAATCAAATGGTCTTTTCACCACCATTATCACTAATAGTACATTCTGTCCAGGAAGGTGGAAAGGCTTTGCTCTCAGGCCTGCAACAAGCCATCAAATCTGCAAGTGCTAATGAACCATCACTTCAGCCAATTAAGAGAAGAAGCAAAGCTGTCTCTAATGAAAGCTTCATGCATCCCATTGGCTCTCTCTAACTCATACTCAGGGATACTAGGAAGACCCTCTGGGCCCAATTGCCATGCTCTTAGAAAGCCGTAAACCAACTCTGTGTAAACATGCCTGGCTGGTGGAGTATCAGGAGATTGGGTTCTGGTCTGAGCTAGGCCACTGACCTTGAGCAAGTCCCGTCTCATCTCTAGGCCTCAGTTTCTTCATTACTGAAGTCATCCCTCTTACTTTTTGAGCATCTACTATGTGCTGATCCCTGCTGCTAGGCACTGGCCACACAAAGACCATTATGGCTGTCCCTGCCTTCTGGTGACCTGAAGTCCAGTGGGGTCCATGCAGTGGGATAAGACTTGTTCAATAACCAGGCCTGTGGTAATGCAGAAAAAGGACTGAATAATTCTGTTTGGATTTTGGGGGAATGTTCTCCAGAAGGAGGGACATGAGCTGAGTTGCAGAGAGGGTTAGTGATATAAAGAAGGCATGAGGAGGTGCTGGGCAGAAGGCAGCCTGATGAAGCTAAGGCAGCAGGAACCAACAGGACGTGGCTGAGGAACAAGGTTTTGTTCTGAGTAGCTGGATCAACAGTTCTAGGAGTGAGGGGTGGGAGGTGAGGCAGAACAGTGGACAGACAAGCAGCAGGTCACACAGAGCCTTGCATGCAGAGCTGGGGAAACTGAATGTTATCTTGAAGGTCGTGAGCCTAATCCACTCTCAAGCTGTATAATTTGGGAAGTGAAGTTAACAGTCAATGATTTACTGACTGAGTGACCTTGGGCAAGTCGGTTGCCCTACTGTGAAATAAGGGTAATGGCACTATCTATTTCAAAGGATTCGATGTTCTTTTGGCTGATGGTCCCCTGGGCAGTGGAATTTTAGGCTGTAAATTATGGTGCTAAGCTAGAAGAAAGAGAGTTTGAGATATGAGTGCCTGAGTGAGTATAGGGCTAGCTGGTTTGCCCACACCACAGAGACATGCTGTTCAGATGATCTGGGATGCCACTCCACTTCAGTAATGATCTCCAAGAAGAAGCACAGCAGCAAAACAGTAATCATTATAACCACCATGCAATATCCTAAAAGCACATTCCTTCCTACTGCTTCTTTTTTTTTTTTTTTTTTTTTTGTCTTTTGTCTTTTTCCGTGTCCGGCAATGGATCGCAACCCTCAGTGTTGCCCCCGTACCGGACTGGGGACCGGCAACGGGATTGCAACCCTCGGCGTTGCTCCCGCGCCTCGCTCAGCCAGTGAGCGGGAACCGGTCTGTATGTGGGATCCGAACCCTCGGGCGGGAGCGCCGCCGCGCTTCCCAAGCGGCGCACTATCCAGTGCGCCACCAGGCCGGCCCCTTACCGCTTCTTTTGATGCCCACAACTGCCCTACCAGGTATGTAATTGTTTTCTCTATTATGCAAGAGAAACTGAGCATCAGAGAGGTAAGGTAAATTTCCCAAGGTTACACAGGAAGTAGGTGCAAAAACTGATACTTTAGGTCTCCTGATTCCTGATCCAGCAAGCTGTCCAGAAAAGCCCAGCAAGTGACCTCAGGCAGCTGTGCATGAAAGAGCCAAATCTCATTAGCCACATCCTCAATAGCCAGGTGAAACCTCCTCTAATTAAACTTATGGGGAGCCGAAAAATTCTTCCTCCAAAATATATCCCTGATTTCTTCTTGCTTCCATACCCCATCCTGTGACTACCTGCTTCCAGGCATTCTTCCCAGTCTCTCACCTGTAATTGCCCAGGTAGACTCCATCAGGGTTGAGCATTGGTGCAATCTTGAAGACCAGGTGTTCTCGTAGAACACGGGCAATAGGGTGCTGGCTTACAAGGAAGTCAATAATCCCTAGGGAAAGAGAAGAGTCTGGGTTAACCTCAAAGTGTTTCAAGGAGGGAGCACATTTTTCTCAGCTTAGAAAACAGTAAGAGTTCAAAAGGTGATTTGGGGCCTGTGTGGTTATTGGCCACTGTGGGTGTGTGGCTATGCCTTCTGTGTTACCCAGTGAATTTTACAAATGCATCTCTGTTTCCAACAGACAGACAGTTCAAGACACAACGTTAAAGCCCATGGGCAGGAGAGAGAGAGAATTTCCAGCTGTAGGGAACAGGGATGGCCTCCAAGAAAAGATGGCATTTGAGCTATGCCTTGCAGGGCCCACCAGGTTTTGACAGACACAGACGGAGGAGAGGTGGGAACAATAAATTAAGAGATGCTCTCTACTGGGCACACCATTAGCTAAACGTTGACATAGATGTGATGATCATAGTGTCAGGAGTCTCAGAGACCTAAATCTTCATGTTGCTGATAGGCACACCAAGAAGTAGAGAGGAGAAGGGATTTGGCCAAAGTCACAGGAGGAGATGGAGGTTTCATCAATGCCCCCCCAACTCTGCTCCTTCCCCATTTTTTTCTTTTTTCCCTTTTTTTGTCTTTTTTTACTGACCAGTAACGGGATCGCAACCCTCGGTGTCGCGCCCACACCGCGCTCAGCCAGTGAGCGGGAACCGGTCTCCACATGGGATCCGAACCCTCGGCGGGAGCGCCCCGCGCTCCCAAGCGGCGCACTCTCCAGTGCGCCACCGGGCCGGCCCAGCTCCTTCCCCATTTTAAGGATCTTCTGCACCCAGAATCCAGGGCAGGCCATCCTCCCTGCTTCTCATTGGCATAAACACCACCCTGCCTGCAGGTCACCAAATTTAGGAAAGCTGAATTTTCCATGACTTTCTTCCCCCTGCCAGGCAGACCCCAGTCCCTTCCTTGAATTGAGCAAATCTGCCCCTCTTCTCCATCTCTCTGCCTCTCTTCTAGTCCAAGCCACCATCACCATCTGGCCTGGATGACAGCCACTGCCTCTGGAATGTGCCCTCATCACTGCAGCCAGAGGGATCTTCTGAAAGTGCAACTCTGACCCTGTCCCTCCCTTCCTTGATATCCTTCTGGTGATAGCATGCATCCACCTGCAGGAGAGGGGGTGAGCAAACAAGCAGCTCTAAGCCCTTGTCTCTCCCCTCCTCTTCTCCACACTTCTACCTCTTCATCAGAGACCTGAAAAAAATGGGCAAAATGGAGCTCTGGCTTTCCATGAATTCCTGTAATGGAGAAAGTGATAGGAGAAGGCAAAACATTCCCAAAATGCAGAAGGAGAATCCCTCTTCTGCTGGGGAGAGGAGGAAAGGTGCCAAGGAGAAGGAAGCTTTTGCTCTGGGCCCTGAAGACATAGCTAGGTTTGGACAGACAGGCGGGACGAAGGCAGTAGTGACTCAGAACCACTCACATGCTCAGTGGTAGATTGCTCCAGAGCACATTCCAAAGCTGCTACGGCCAGGGAGGGACATCTCAGGCTTTTCTTCAGCCAGGACTGAGGATCCATCGGCAGCTGAAAGCCACTTGGACATCATTTACCTCTCAGCTGAAGCGGCAGTGGACCAGATGCCCTGATTTATTTGTTGGTCCTCATATTAAAGCCGCAGTTTGCCAGTAAACAGGCAGGGTAATGATGCCAGGCGCCCTTGTTAGGGGCTAATAATTGCTTAATCTGTCCGCTAATTGACCCCAGCTCCCGGGGCGGCCCTCCATCACGGAGCCAGCCTGCGCTCCGGGCCTGGCCATGCTGCCTGAGAGAATGGCTTCTGGAAATGGAGTGGCTCATTGTGATCCATCCTCCTTCACAGATGAGCAGATTAATTGGGCTGCCAATTAGGCAGCTAATAAAAGAATGAGAGAAAACAAAGTCAGACCAGAGTCTGCAGCCACCCAGAGCTCCCTCTCCCAGGGTGGATGTGGGGCAAGGAGAGGGGAGGTTTTAGACTCATGTCTTGGCTTAAAGGTCAATACAATTCAACAGGAGTCATTCCCATTGATTAAGAAATCAGGAAAAGATCTTTCCCTTTTTTTCTTCTTTTCTTTGGTGGTGGGGGAGGGTGGTAAGTGAAGAGGAATATGAAGAAGAATGTGGGAGAAAGTAGAACTAGAGAGAAAATGCCATCTCTGACCAAAAGCATTGCATGGACCAAGGAAGCAGAGGGGCCATGGGAGCAGAAGGGCTTGGGGACCTACATTCAAATCTTAACTGGTCATTAGCTACAGAGCTACTTACTAGCTTTCTCTGACCAGTGTTCACATCTTGATAGAGGGATAATAAGGCCTAATCTGGAAGACTGCTGCTGTGTGACCGGGTTAGAGCTCCTATATTTCAGCTGCCTGACACAGTGCCTAAAAATTGTGACATGCTTTAATAAACTCAGATCAAAGGTTGAAAGGCAATGGGGTGAAAACAGGATTAATTTTAGAAGTAGGAGGCCTGGTTTGAGAAGTTTACTATGGAATTTGGAGAAGCCAACAAACCAAAACAGAACATGGGTTCTAGTTTTGGCTTAGTTACTGGGCAACTGATAGAAAGCCTCTGGTCCTACTCTCAGCTTTAAAACTAGCCGAAAGAACTAAATAGTTCCCAAGGACTCACCCAACACTGACATTTTATGATTCCACTTATTCTATTCCTCTCCCCCAAAGTAGAAGAATCCTCATCCATCAAGTGGAAACAATAATCGTCCTCCTTCTGGGAGACACCATCAACCCCCTTGAGATCAGCCTTTGCTCCTTCTATAAACAACTTTGTCAGGTTCTTTCCTTTGAAGACAGGAAGGCTGGACACTAGAGAGGCTGCAGGAGAAGAAGGCAAGTTGGTGGAGTCCCGGCCTCTGGCTGGCCAGCGTGAACCTCGCCAGGAAAACCACAACCGAACCTCAGAGTGTTTGGTTGAGGGCTGGGCACAGAGCAGGTGCTTAATAAGTGCCTATGGATGGATCGCTCCCAGGAATTCATTCAATCTTGACAAAGCATGAGGTTAGGTGAACTGATAACCACTCAGTCTGCATTCAGTGGCACACCAAATGCTGGGTATTCCAAGATGAATACATACATGTTCCTGCCTCAGAGGGGAGCATGGTAAGAGCAGACTCTGAAACTTAGCTATCTGGGTTTGACTCCTTTCTCTGCCATTCATTGTCTGTGTGGCCTTAACCTTGCAGTTGCTCAGTTTTCTTGTCAGTTAAAAGGGGAGAATAATAATTACTTGTTAGCCTTTGTGAGGATTTGAATGACTGGATACAAGCAAAGTGTCTGACACATAGTAAGTGTATACAAGGGTACTTCCAAAAGTTCATGGAAAGATCTGCATCACTGTTCAGTTCTATTTTCCCAGGAACTTTTTCAGCACCTCGTATATGCATTGCTTTTATCATTGCTCTTACTTCGTTTGCCTATAGGTGTGGGGAAGGGAGGAGTGTTCAGAGATGAGCAGGAGAAGTGAACAGGGACTCGCTGGTCCAACTAAAAACACACATAGAGCACTGAACAGCCACAGAAGGCTTTCTTATAAAAAAATTAATTTAATTTATCAATAGACAATGTGATTGATTATTGTGGCCCATTACAGAAACCTCCCTCCCCCCTCCCTCCCAACAACCTCATATCTGTTCGCTTGTCATAACAACTTCAAGGAATTGTGATTGTTGTGTCTTCTTCCCCGTCCCCCCCCCAGTTTATTTGTGTATTTATTTATTTATTTTTAGCTCCCACAAATAAGTGAGAACATGTGATATTTCTCTTTCTGTGCCTGACTCGTTTCACTTAATATCATTTTCTCTAGGTCCATCCATGTTGTTGCAAATGGCAGTATTTCATTCTTTTTTATACCAGAGTAGTATTCCATTGTGTAAGCCAGGAATGTACAGTGGGATCTGGGCTTTGGAGAACTCCCCCTGGTGGCAGCGTGGGATGTGGCATAGAGGGAAGAAGTAACATGGGGCAGGGAGTCTTGACGGCAGGAGAGAGGTGGAGGAGGAGAGGGGAGCACAGACACAGCAGAGAGCTGGCAAACGTAAAGCACATTGCAGTCAGGAACCAGGGTTCCACAAGTTGGGGAACTGCAGGGCCTCTGTAGTGACCAAGGCCCAGAGTCATGAGGATGCAGCAGGTGGAAGGGAAGCAATGTAGACAGATGTCAACACCCATGATGAGATTATTTGTCTACCATCCCCAAAAGCATCAGAACTCTTTGCTGAAATCACACAACTTAAGAGAAAAGTAACTGAGATTATATTTCTGGCGCCTGGCCGAACTGGGCCTCAAAACGGAAACTGAGTTCAGTTATAGAAAAATAAGGAAAATTACATTTCCTGCACCTTTGAGTTTCTGGGATTGAGGTTTGCATCTGCTGTTCAGATCTGTCTTCTCTCCAGGCCATGAACTCCAGGATGGCAGGGACAGGTCTGCTTTCTTTGCAAGTCTATTCTCAGTGCCTAGCTCAATGCCTGGCACAGGGAAAGTTCTCAATAGATGTGTGTGAAATGAATGAATAAAGATAGACCCATAATGACAGTCAATAGCTGCACTAACTTCTGATTCCATTGGCTCCATTTTATAGTCAGAGAAACAAAGTCAAGGTGTGGCATTACTTGCTGAGCATCTCACACAGGCCTACTTGGGATTCAGACCCTGTTCTGCTGGCTCCAAATCAGTGCTCTTTCCATTAAGGCAAGATAGGAAGAGCCAGGAGTCTATCTGCATGTGATCTGCAGAATGATTTACATGTGCTTGCATGATTTTCTCTCTAGAGAGTTCTTCTATTGTTTCTGTTCTCTGGTTGGAGGCAGAATACTGTAGTGGGAAGAGCCCAGGCTTGAAGCAAGACAGCCTGAGATCTCTGCTGAGCCCAGAGTGTGGTCGCAGCCTCTCTAGGCCCTCGCCTGACCTGGCACCAAGCCCTTGCCTGCCTTCAGCTGAGACCAATGGCCTCAAATGATGAAATCACTGGAAGTCTGACCCCAATGAGCCTGAAGTTC